GGAACTGAGGCAGAAGGATCGTCTGAGCCCAGGAGGCTGAGGCTGCAGTGAGCCATGATCATGCCACTGCACTCCAGCCTGAACAGCACAGTGTGACCCTGACTCAAAAAAAGGAAGGAAGGAAGGAAGGAAGGAAGGAAGGAAGGAAGGAAGGAAGGAAGGAAGGGAGAAGCAAAGAAAAAGAATGAAACAAACTACATAGACCTTCTCTAATGTACTGCCATGTCTCTAGCACCCAGAACACCTGGCACATAGTACATGTTCAGTGAAGAGTTGATTTTTTTTTGTCTTTGGTTTTTATTTGTTTTTGAGACAGGATTTCACTCTGTCACCCAGGCTGGAGTGCAGTGGGGTGATCCCAGCTCACTAAAGTCTCAAATTTCTGGACTCAAGTGATCCTCCCACTTCAGTCTCCCAAGTAGCTAGGACTACAGACATGTGCCACCATGACTGGCTAATTTTTCTTTCTTTCTCTCTCTCTTTCTTTCTTTCTCTCTCTCTTTCTTTCTTTTTTGGTGGAAACGAGGTCTCACTATGTTGTTCAGGCTGGTCTTGAACTCCTGGGCTCAAGCAATCTTCCTGCCATGGCCTCTCAAAGCGCTAGCATTACAAGTGTGAACACTGTACACAGCCATTCAGTGAGTCTTGTTGAGTAAATTAGTAAGTGAACCTAAAAGCTCTGAAATGGGTGAATAATTAAGAAAATTAAGCCACAATTAGACTCTGTAATAGTGCAAATCACATTTATGAAAAATTTTTAATTGCACGCAAAATTGTATAAAGTGTCTGAAACTAAATGCCTGTCCTTACATCCATTTACCCCTTTCTCTTCAAGAACAGAACAAAACCTTGAGTTGCAGCTGAACACACTTCCACACAAGATAAAAGATTATAGTGTCCTGCCTCCCTTGCAATTAAGGTTGACCATGTGACTGCTATCCTGTCAGATAAAAGCAAAAGTGCTCTATAGCATTTTTAGAAAATCTCCAAAAGAGGACGTGATCAGTCTTTCCTCTTCCTTCCTCTTCTGCCCCTTGAAGTTCAAATAAAATGCTAGAGCTGCATTGTCCAATATGGCATCCACTAGCCTCATGGGACAACTTAAATTTTAACTAAATAAAATTCCAAGTTCAGTTCCTGGGTCTTACTAGCCACATTTCAAGTGCTCAGTAAATAACCACTATCACACTGGACTGGACAGGATAGAACGTTTCCATCTGTGCTGGGCTTTCTCCCTTGGTACCTTTGTAATTCTGTTTCCTGGAGTTGTGCTTTTTTTTCTGTTACAGGCAGTTCAACCTATACCTAAAATAATACAAGTAATTAATAGGAAAAGAATACAAAATTGTATATGCAGAGTGGTTTGCTGTGCTTCACCAATTTTTCCTTAAATAAGTTATATTTATCTTAATTTGATGATAAAATCGCCAATTGAGAGCTAGCAATATGCTCTCCTTTGCTAAGTGGAATAATTAGACTATTATACTTCTGCAAATTGAGAAGACTTTTTTTAAATGTACAACATTCTCTGTATCTTAAAGCAATGAAAAAAGTTTCCCTTTAATTTCTGTATTTTTCCAGTAAAAGCAGAACAAAGTGGGTAATTAGCTCTCCATAGACCCAAGTCTCAACCCTCAGTAAATGGGGTAATCCCTGAGAATGTTGGCAGTTGGAGCAATATTATCTGTCTGTGCACAGATGATGTTCTGTTTGTAGCTCTCAGTGAGGAAACCAAGCCTGCACATGGGTAAGGGCTACTGCCACAGCCTCCACCCTAAAGTCCTAGACTGCTTAAGGCAATAAGGCATCAAGAGAAAAAGAAGTTACCTCCGCTGTGTTTAGGTCAGTTGCAAATGCTTTAAAATATCCATTAGCAAAATATAAAAATACTAGCATAAAAGATAATGGGGTGGTTGTGTTACAGTTAGCATCCATTTAACAAATATTAGGTGAGTACCTAAGATGTGCACTAGCCAAAAGTGTCTATGTTGGAGAAAAACAGAGACTGTCTAGCCTAGAGAAACCTCAAAATGCTCAAACTGCCTTCAAATAATTGAAAAAGGCCTGGCATGGTGGTCATCCCTGTAATTCCAGCAGTTTGAGAGGTCAAGGCAGAAAGATTGCTTGAGCCCAGGAGTTCAAAACTAGCTGAGGCCGCATAATGAGACCTTGTCTCTAAAAAAAAATCAAAAACTTAGCTGGGCGTGGTGGTGTGCATCTGTAGTCCCATCTACTCGGAGGCTGAGGTGAGAGCCCAGGTGGCCAAGGCTGTGGTGAGCCGTGACCATGCTACTACACTCCAGCCTGGGTGACAGAGTAAGATCCCAGCTCAAAATAATAAAATAATAAAATAAACAAATGCTTGAAAACCTTAGGGTGGAATCAAGCCTTTTCTGAGCAACTCCACAGGACAGAAAGAAAACCAGTGAGTGGGCAGGGATGCAGTCATTACACAAAATAAAATTAATGATCAGTACTAATGATAAAGATGATAGCTAAAAGGTATCGAGTGCTGTGTGCTCTGTACTATGCTCTTTTTAAAAGCTTTTCTTGTATATTATGATTTGATATCCAGAATAATATTAGAAAGCTCACATTACTGATAGTCATGCTGATGTAAAAACAATTTTTCAGAGCAGTTAAGAAATTTGAATCTTGGATTGTGGCTGACAGGCAATTGAAACAACCTAACACATTTCAGAGCCCGAACTCAACATTTTAACAGGAAAAAAAAATCTGCTGCCCATCATGTAAGTGTTCAAAAAGAATCTATAAGAATTGCCATAGCAAGGGTGACGTATAGGCTAAAGAGTTGTTTATTAAACAAGCACTTATGAAGCATCAACTGTGTGCATGGTATTTTGAGCTACAAAGAAGAAGGCACAGTGGATAGCCCTGCCCTTAAGAGCTTACAGTCTATGGAGAGAGAAAGGCATAAAATGATTACAATCAATGTGATAGTGAAATAATATAGTATGTGAAAATGACCATGGAAAGGAGACACAAAATCGAACCAAGGAAGAGGGAAATCAGAGAAAGCCTTAAAAGACAGTAACTAGAAACTAGGTCTTAAAGGATAGGGTTTTCTCTATGGAAAGAGGAGGTAAACTCATTCCAAGCAGAAGCATCAGCATTTTCTCAGGGAGTAAGGATGGGCATCCATGAACATGATTCATGGGGACACCAAGGGAATGAGAAAAGTTTCCTGTTGTCTTTAAAAGCACTATTCTTCTACACATTCAACCCACCACTACAGGAAAAAGGGAGAAAAAAACCTAAGGCCTCTAGCACAGCCATGATGCTCCATCCATCTACTAGGGAAACTGCCTCATTGTTTCACCTGATCCTCAAGAAAAGGTAGCAGGGTGCAGTGCAAATTCAATGTCTAGTTACATCATTCCAAAGTCAACAGGGGCCAGTTTTATGATAGTCTTTGAGTTGTTCACAATGAGATGGAACAGTGGGGTGAAGCAAAGATTCCAAGAGGTGAAACAACAATATAGACACAGATTGTCTCATCTCCCCTCACCAAGAAATACTAATAGACATTTTAAAAATGGGCCTAGCCAGGTGCAGTAGTTCATGCCTGTAATGACAACACTTTGGGAGGCTGAGGCAGGAGAATTGCCCGAGCCCGTGGGTTCAAAACCACCTTGGGAAGCAAAGTGAGACCATGTCTATGCAATAAATCAAAAAAATTAGCTGGGCATGGTGGCACATGCTTGTAGATCCAGCTACTTGGAAGGCTGAAGTGGAAGGATTGCCTGAGCCCAGCAGGTTGAAACTGCCATGGCCATGAGTGTGCCACTGCACTCCAGCTTGGGCAATGGAGTCCGACTCAAAAAAAGGGGGAAGGGGCCCTTGATAATACGATAAGAGAGGAAACTTCCAGACACTGCCGGGATGGGAGGGAACATATAACATCAATAAGGGTACCTGAACTCAAACCAGGTGAAGTGAGATCAGAAGGAGGACTCAACCTAATCTATACGATGACCACTTATATACTTAATCCTGAATTATACTCCACATCTTTAAAATTAAAAAAAAAAAAAGAAATGAGCTTGGCATAGTCACTTAGAATAAGGGACAGAGTTCTGAAATAGACGCATGCTTGGACAGTATCACCCACCCCTTCAGTCTTCAAGTTAGGCCTAATAAGCATTTTCTAACATTCTGTATTTTTCATATTTGGATAAGACTAACAATGATCTCATTTTTATGAAACTGTTTACTTGATCTTTTGCTACTTAATAGACAGAATCTATACCACTTTGATATTATTTTGTTTATGAATGTTGGACATAATGAGAGGGACCAAGTAGATTTAAGAGTTCTCCTTGTGAAAACATGTCACAAAAAATAAAATTACTCCAGAGTCTCTTCTGGTACTCACGATAAGGTCTGTGGGACAAGATGCCAAGGGCCAACTAGAATAGATGAGTTCCCGAATGTTATTTTCAGTGGCACACTTGCCCATATTGGAAAAGGAGATCAGATTAGTATCCTTCTCCCCAAATATTGCCTAGTAATTTCTCTGCTTGGTTTTCTTTTATTAATGAAATATAATTTGTCATCATGAGAGAGGTTTTAAAAAAGAAGGGAGAAAAACATAAATGGTTAAAAAAGAAAAGGAAGGAGGGAGGAGATAACAGGAAGAAATGATTTAACCTACAAACCCTTGTCAAAATATTCTCCTTTGCATTTGCACTTGGTTTGAGGCTTCATATTCCCCAAACCCATGATAGCATTGGATATCATGGAACCAACCAAGTTCCCTAAGATTCTGCCAGACCAGACTATCTGATTTCTGCCCTTGGAACATTACACCGGGATACCAGGGCATCTTTGGTTACTAAGGAGGCACAGCGGCAGTCACATCACATTCAAACATTTGTTTATGCCATTGCCGAATGTCTTGCTAAAATCAAAACCCATTTCAAGAACAGAGAATAATCAGACATACATTTTTAATCATTTTCCATCCCTGAGCTCTCTTTTCACTCCATCTCTGAGTCCTTCTTTTTGCTCCACAACCTCCTCATGGCGAGTGTCACCTCTGCGTTCCTGAGTGTGTAGATGATGGGGTTCAGCATGGGGGTGACGACCGTGTAAAAAACAGCCACAAGTTTATCTACAGTGAAGGTGGAGGAGGGTCGCATGTAGAGGAAGATGGCCGGTCCAAAAAACAAGATGACCACCGTGAGGTGAGAGGCACAGGTGGAGAGGGCTTTGCGCCTCCCCTCTGCAGAGTGGTTCTTCAAGTTGACCAGGATGACGACATAGGAGGACACCAAAATGAGGAAGGAGCACAGGGCGATTAAGCCACTGTTGGCCAATACGGCCACCCCCTCCACAAACGTGTCAGTGCAGGCAAGCTTGAATAATGGCTGGAGGTCACAGAAGTAGTGGTCAATCACACTGGGACCACAGAAAGGCAATTGGATGGCAATGAGAATCTGAATCATAGAATGAAAAAAGCCCCCCAGCCAGGAACCAGCCACCAGAAGGTGACACAGTCGACGACTCATAATGGTCATATAATGAAGAGGCTTGCAGATGGCCACATAGCGGTCATAGGCCATCGCTACAAGCAAAAGGATCTCAGCAACCCCAAAGAAGTGGAAGAAGAATATCTGAGCCAGACAACCCTCCAGGGAGATGGTTTTAACTTTCACAAGTAAGTCTGTGATGAATTTAGGGACAACAGTAGAAGAGTAACTGATCTCCACCAAGGACAGGTAGCTGAGGAAGACGTACATGGGGGAATGCAGGTTCTTACTGATGCTGACTGTCAGAATGATGAGGCCATTGCCCACCACAGTGGCCAGGCATACAGGAAGAAACACCACAAAGCACACTCTCTGCACCACTGGATCCAGGAAAAGGCCAGTGAAAATTAACTCGGTCACATTATGTGGACTGGCTATGGATTCCATTAAGTGAAGATGGATCTCAGAGAAAAGCCCTGTGACAAAGCAAACACAATTGTAACACTCATCCCTCATGTTTATTTAGCTCTTGCCTACTGATAAAAATCTTTTTGGCCAGGCACGGTGGCTCACGCCTATAATCCCAGCATTTTGGGAAGCCGAGGTGAGAGGATTGCCGTAGACCATAGGTTTGAGACCAGCCTGGGCAACTTGGTGAGACCTCATCTATGAGAAATAAAAAATTAACTGGGCATGGTAATGCATGCCTGTAGTTCCGGCTACTTGGAAGACTGAGGCAGAAGGATGGCCTGAGCCCTGCAGGTCAAGGTTGGGGTGGCTGGGAGTGTGCTACTGCCCTCTAGCCTGGGTGACAGAGTGAGACTCTAACTGAAAAGAGTCAAACAAACAAAAACAAAACAAAAAAACTTTTCACACATATTATCTGACTGGTCTGTTTATTTATTTATTCACATGGCAAATGTTATTTTTTTCATCGCTCAATAGCCCAACCTAAGCAAGACACCAGCCATGTAACCTGACAAAAACTTTGTGATATCATATTACAAAAAGAAAATTGAAGCACAGGGAAGTTGTGAATTAACCAAGACTGTTACTCAAGGTTTTCTCTGCTTCTAAAATTATTTTGGAATATCTCTTATTCCCCTTTTATTCTTCTTCCTCTTATGCTTTCTTTTTTTTTTTTTTTTTTTGAGTTGGAGTCTCACTCTGTCGCCCAGACTGGAGTGCAGTGGCTGCTCCTGGCCACCGCAGCCTCGACCTACTAGTCTCCAGCGATCCTTCCGCCTCAGCCTTCCGAGTAGCCGGAACTACAGACGCGCGCTACCACGCCCGGCTCATTTTTTATTTATTGTGAGATGAGGTTTTGCCAAGTTGCCCAGGTGGGTCTTGAACCCGCGGGCTCAGGCAATCCACTCACCTCAGCCTCCCAAAGCGCGGGATTACAGGCTGAGCCATCGAGTCCGGCACTCTTATGCTTTCATCCTGAAAATAGATTAAATATCTTACCTTTCCCAACTTCTCCCATAGTGAAATTGGAAGGCATACAAAGGAAAAAATCTGCTGAGAGATGCTCAGTAATGTGCCTGGCTAAAAGTGGAGAAAAAAATGGGAGATTGATTGGGGTTAAAGAAAGGAACCCAAAAAGAATAACCAAATGGGAGACAGGAAGCAAAACGGGAACTCTCTTACACTAGTACAGAGGAAACAAGGTGTTAAAGAGATCCACTACTAATTCATGATTGTTATAATGTTTGGTAACCTAGGGTTACCGCCCAGCACGCACCTGCATTCCTTAGAATTATAAAACTGGGGCCAGGTTTGGTGGCTCAGCCTGTAATCTCAGCACTTTGGGAGGCCGAGGTGAGTGGATTGCCTGAGTCCACAGGTTCAAGACCAGCCCAAGCAACTTGGTGAGACCTCGTCTCTACACTAATTAAAAAAACAGCTGGGTGTGGTAGCGCATGCCTGTAGTTCCAGCTATTTGGAAGGCTGAGGCAGAAGGATCGCCTGAGCCCAGCAAGTTGACACTGGGATGACCGTAAGGGTGCCACTGCACTCTGGGTGACAGAGTGAGACTGCAACTCAGAAAAAAAAGAATTATAAGACTGTACTGATCCTCCCTTGAACAGAATGAGTCACTGATCCCATGGTTGTATTCACATAGTTAATAAAATAGATTGTTATTCATTTCATGATCAATAGTTAAAATTAGAAATACAATTAGATTAATTTTGTAGCCATAACCAGCATACCCTTGTTTTGTTATATACCTATTGGCTAATGATCAATCACAATGAATAATGTTTTACTTTGTAGTAAGCGCCAGTTATTCTTTTGCTTAGAGTTACTGACAAACAAAAATAACAGGTTCCTGGTAATGGATACTAAGAATATGCAAACAATTCATGTTATTGACAAAACACAATTGTAATTAGAATCTTATAGAACGTTTTATAAGTTATGCAGTTTGATGTTAACCCATAGCAAACGTTAATGTTCATGCTTACAAATGCAGACTGTAAAATCCAAGGAGCTGAACTGGCCTTGGTATCTCTACTGGCTTGTCTCCCTGAATTCTGAATTCACAAACAAACTTCTTTCTTCCCCGTTCTCAGCCTCTTGGGTTTCATTGACAAGAGACAGAGCAGCCATGTGTTCCAAGGACCATTTCAAGGGAAGGCACCAAAAACAACCCAAGAAAGCTGCAGAAGGGTCTGGTGGCCTGAAGGAACTAAAGTATGGAGTTTCCTGATGCTCACCTTTTTCACTGCCATCCCAGCTACCACAACCGTGGATGCTGCTGCCCTTACTCAGGGTCTAACATATGCTAGACTATGTTAAGCACCTCTCAGTCATCCCTTATTTAACTCTTCTTGTACCTCTCTGAGGTAGCTCTTGATAGAGAAGGAAACTGAGACTCCAAGAGGTTTAGTAAAAAGCCCAAAGAAACACAACTTGTGAGTAGTTGAACTGAGGCCAAAATGCAGGCCTGTCCTAAAAAGCCACCACATCTCAGCTAGAGGAGAAAGGGGTTGGCCACTCCAGGGCCTAAGAGAAATGGCATCTAGGTCCATGGCTGATGCAAAACTTGTCCAAATCCTCTTTGTATTCTTTCCCTGTGAACTGCAGGAGCACTCCAGGAAAGTCCAAGTTCTTGGGAATGTTTCTCTTCCACCACCTCCAGACCCTGAGAGACCAAGAAACTCTGGGATCCTGAGAAGAATGTGAGACTTGGGGATCAGAATACCCCTCTCCTCCTCCATCCCATGGTAGAAATTTGGACAAGGAGTGGAGCTGTGATTGGTGAGATGGAGCCATGGAATCTGTCATTATCTCCCAGCAGAGGTGGCCTGATGAAATCCCTCTCACACTGGATATTATAGCAGCACCATTTTCTCCCATCCTTCAGGCATGAAACTTTGTAGTCACCTCTAACGCATGCCTCACCTCCCGCCTCCTACTTACACAATCTCACCTCCTGATGCTCTCACCTCCTGATAATCTCACCAGTTCCTTCCTCTCTGTCTTCCTGCAGCTGCCATCTCCAGGCAGGGCGTAAGCTCATGGAAGGATGACCACCAACTCTTGCATACTCCATCTCTCCCTCAGTGTCCCCAGTCTTCATCCCCTAATCTATTCTTCTTACTTAAGTTAGAAATTCTTCCTGAGTCTCCCTCTGCTCAGATCATTCATAAATTGCCATTGTCTCCCTGTTGCCTGGCAGTCAATCTTAAGTTCCTCCATTCCACAATACCACCCTAGCCAAATTTACTGGGCACTAAACAACACACAATCTCAGTTCCATTCAGAGGGCTCCTCGCATTCTCATAGATTCAAGTTGATTCCCACCACAAGGGCATCCCTCTTAATTTTCACGTCACCCAGTGTGTCACTTCTCTTGGCCACCCTCTTAAAGTGCAACCTGCTCTATAATATTTATTGTCTAGGAAGTCCTCCATGGTTACTGCAATACTAATTCATTGATCTCTCCTCTCAGTCCTGAAAATTAGTTTAAGTTGTCTTTCTGCTAAATGCAATAAGGTACATAGTATTCAGCTCATAGCAAGTACTCAATGAACAAAAGCTATCACTATTGTTAGGCATCAAAAATGCAAATCCAATCAAGTTATACATTAACTTGAAATCTACCAATGGTCTTCCACTGCCTACAAGATTAAGTCCAAAGTCACCAGAATGGCATTAAGACCCTCCAAGAACTGAAGTTTGTTGGTCTTTCTAGCTTCACTGGCCATCACTCCCAACTGAAGCCTTATTTCCCAGTCATTCTGAATATCATTCTAAAAACCTGCTCTTTGCGTATGCTGTTTCCTGTGCTTGGTTGGTGTGTACATCTTGACTTTCTAATTAACTCGTATTTTTGTTTTAATGCTAAGATCAAACATCACTCATGTCTCTACTCCCAAGCAACACTTCTTCCATGTTTTTTACATTTTTTCACTGAAGTAGTTAGCATATTTTATTATAATTTTGTTTCTGTATCTGTCTCTTTTGCTGAATTTATTCATCTCTGAATCTTCTGAATAACTGCTCAGCAAATGCTCATTGAATTAAATTTTAAAATGAATAAATGAGGCTGGGCGCAGTGGCTCACGCTTATAATCCCAGCACCTTGGGAGGCCAAGGTGAGAAGATTGCCTGAGCCCACAGGTTCAAGACCAACCTGGGCAACTTGACAAAACTTCATCTCCACAATAAAGCAAAAAATTAGTCAGGCATGGTGGCGTGTGACTGTAGTTCCAGCTACTTCGAAGGCTGATACAGGATTCCCTGAGCCCAAAAGGTCAAGGCCGCAGTGACTATGAGCATGCCACTGCACTCCAGCCTGGGCAACAGAGTAAGACTCCAACAAAAAAATAAGTGAATAAATGAAAGTTTTCTATCACCTACAGTTGAAAGCATACAATGCATTACATTTTATTCAGCTCCTTGCTGTGCACAGTGGCTCATAGCTGTAATCCCAAAATAAAAAAATTAGCCAGGTGTGGTGACTCATAGTCCCAATTACTCGAGAGGCTGAGGCAGAAGGATCACCTGATCCTGGGAATTCAAGGCTGCAGTGAGCCATGACCGTGTTGCTGTACTACAGCCTGGGTGACAGAGTGAGTCTTCAGCTAACTAAAAAAATAAAATTAGAATAAATATATATATATGCATACACAGCTCTCTATTCTCACTGTGGTTTTATAGTCATCTGTTCGTTTTTAGGAACAAAGTCTAAGTTTATTACTCCTTGAATTCATACAGCAACAAAGTGTGACCCTTAAAGGCTGTGCTCTACATATGTAGAATCTTGATTGGTGATAAGTTAATTAATCAGTAGATTGATAAAGAAAGACTAAAT